GTTTTCTTAATATCTGCTGCTTTGATGACGCTATCCGCGAATTATTATCTTTTATGAATTCATATAAGAATTGAACTCTTACATAACGTTCTACAATAAGCCGCGCCAGATTTGTGTCGTGATGTTGCAAGTTGATGTGCTCTTCTACAATAGGAAATGGAGAACGACCAATGAGTTTGGCCTTATAGCCTTTAAAGGCCTTCGGATACCTAGACGTGCATGTATGAAGAAGATAATGAACCTGAAAGAGGCGAAAGAGGTATGTAAGGATAGTGACTCTTGGCGATCTGTTCTCTCTGGCTACCCCGTTAGGGATTGTGCGTGAAGATAAGTAAGTAAATAAGTACAAAACCTAATTAATTAATAAAAAATAAAGGTAATTTTCGTTTACATTTTTATATTACGTTAATTTTAGATAATGTAGATATTTTCACCTGACGGTCGCGGCCGAGGCCGAAGCAAAGTCATGGTTTTGAGAGTATGTATTATGTTTGTGTATTTCTTAGGCACATTCCGCTCTTGACGGATTTATCGTAAGCGATTAGCGTTGTAAATGACATGTAAAAAACGTGTATATATTTTAAAGAACCTTACATGTATTAAACGGTGTATTTTACGCATAATTCGTTTGGTTATAATTATGTTACGTTTTCATAGTCTCCCATTTTTACGCGTACAATTTATGGATGTGACACATCTCTAAGTTACATAAAAAAGGTAAAAATAAATGCATATTAATAAAACAAAATAAAATCAACACATTTTTTTCGTGGCAAGTGGGAACCCTAATAGTATTTGGCAATTAAAAATAGCTACTCATGCGTGATTATTGTAGGTATTTTTATTTGTCAAATAAAAATACAACAATAATAGTCCCATATTGGCAGTATGTAATTATAATAAAAAGAAAATATAGGGTAAAATATTTTACTATGCCTAGCAACATTTTCATAATATTGGCGGCTGTCAAATTTAAGATTTATTATTTTGTTTTGATGAATGTTTTTTTACAAAAATATAATATGCTAGGCGGTAATTACCCGTGAAATAAAATTTTAAAAAAAATCAAAATTGCGCGAGCTTTTACACGACTACGTGGACTCGAGTTTCAGTTTATACAAAGGTACTCTGTGGGCTCGAGTACTGACATGCTAAAAGTCATACGGGGTTCATGAGAAGCCCCCCTACCCTTGCCCCGTTGCGGAAATGTATAGTTTATGAGTAATAATTTTTTTTTAAATTATAACCACTTTTTATACAGGAATATTGACACAAAGTTACTTTTACAACGGCCGTACGGTGTTGGGAGGGGGGAGAGGGAGGGAGGGATCATGGAAAGTACCCTCTACCCTTCCCCCGTTGCGGAAATGTATAGTTTATGAGTAATAATTTTTTTTGTAATATATAACCTCACTTTTTTATACAGGAATATTGACGCAAAGTTACTTCTGCAACGGCTTCGGCACTGGGGGAAGTGCAGCCCCTTCGCCCTTGCGTAGCAAATCACAGGCACCTATGCTCGCCTCCGCAGCTTCGGCTTATTGGTCGCCTTCTGCCACCAGCCTCAGCCGCTGCGGCTCACTTAGGTGCCTGCGATTTGCTACAGCGGGCGGGGGCTACTCTCCCTCCATGTCTACGGCTTTACAAAAACACTCTAGGGGTAGGGCAGACGAGACTACGTGGAGTCGGGGTGTGCTAATTCGGTTTTAGAACCGATTCGACCAATCTTTACTACGTGGTAGAGCCATGCTGCAGTTATATTAGTAGTATAGTTGCAGCACGAATGGGTCGGCTTGACCGGGGAAGGACCACGCTCTCACAGAATACCAGCGTAAAATAATAGCTTAATGCTACTGTGTTTCGTATGGTGAGTGTAGAGAACCGGAGACCCTTTTTACTGGAAAAGAGGCTTTCCATCTTAGTCCTCACAGGTGACAACGCATCTGCATTTTGATTTGTAATCGAGGATAGATGTAGATGTCTATGGGCAACAGCAAACATTGACCATCAGGTGGAGTGTGTGCTCGTTTGTCACCCTATTCTATAAAAAAAAAAAAAAAATCTTATCTATAAAGTTGCCCTAAACTCTGCTATGATAGCGGTTAATGAAATAATGTAATGTGAATTGTTATAATTTTGTTTTCTGAAAAACCTCTTGACTGCTCTCCACTGTGACTCAATTTATTGTACATGAGTCCCATCTCCAGCCACAAATTGATTGTCTGGGTCCGAGTGATTAATTTTTTTATGAGTGTATCTGTGTTAAAAAAGCAAATGGACATTTTTGCGTTTCGTTATTGATATTTTTAGTGAAATTTATTTTTATCGTCATTAATTCAAAAGGCATTTCCGAAATCCAAAAACAGTGTAAATGGTTCGAGCTTAACCCTGACAATCCTCCTAAATTGAAAACAAACTTAAAAAATCAAGTACTGGACATCTACTTCATAATACGAGAACCAATTGACATATTTGCGTTTCGTTATTACACAATTTTTAGTGAAATTTGTTTTCATCGTAATTAATTCATAACGCATTTCCGACATCTAAAAACAGTGTAATACGCACAAGCCCTACCCTAACAAGCCTCCTAGAAATCAAGTACCGGATGTCTATAGCTAACCCAAATTATTTTTATTTTGTCAAGTGTTGTGTTGTAGGTATAATATATTGTTTACTACTTTTTTTCTAAAAAATTAAGTGCTGAATACCCGCTGACTGCAATTTCAACGGTTTGATTTTTTATAAAATGTTAAGTGTTCCCTACTTTACTTTATACTATCAACATTAACCCTTTATAGAAATCCTATCTGTATCCTGTTCTTGTCTGCTTTCTGTTTTTGTCTGATAACTTCTATAGATAATATAGGAAAAAAACCTACAACTTCTGCATAATTTTTTTCCTATCTGACATAATAAAGGCTCTAGGAAGCATGTAAATATAGTCAAAGACCCTGTACGAGTTTAAAAAAGTAATTGATTTTTTATCAATAACTCGCTTAATTTTTATACTATCACAAAATTAGCTACATTTGATTTTTTTATATACGGCAACATTGATTCTGTTATGGCAACATCGTCATGTTAGGGAAGTCGTTTATAAATGCGCATAGAGTAGAGTAATAAATGCGAAAAATAATGTGTCAAAGTGATCAGGTAACGGTTGTGAATTTGAGAAGCGTAAAACTTTTATTTCTGTACGTTAATAATAATAATAATAAAGCTTTATTTCTCTAGACATTTACAGAGTTATCAAAATTATAAATAAATACATAGAATTATTAGAAAGTTCTTTTTGTTTTATGTAGTCCCTCTTAGGTAAAAACCTCCTCCAATTTTTTGAACCATTCTTCACGGTTTTTGGCAATTTGCATCCATTCTTCTCCTGCTATGTTAATAATGTCATCCACCCATCTTTTCCTTTGCCGACCTTCATTTCTCTTGCCAAATGGGCCCGTCCATTTTGTTGTTTGGTAGGTCCATCTTTTGTCATGGTATCTAGCTATGTGTCCTGCCCATTTCCATTTTTGTATTTGACTATGCTGAAGTGCATCCGTTAATTTCGTTTTCTTTCGAATATCTACATTTCTTGTTTTTTGTATTCTCCTTAGTTTAAAGATGCTCCTCTCCATAGCATGTTGGCAAGACAAAATTTATTTTCACTCTTTCAGTGTACACCCATGTCTGGCTTGCATATGTTAGACTTGGGAGGATACACGAGTCCGTTATGACCCTTTTCATTCTTAGGCTGTAATTTCCTTTGGGAATTTCTTTTTGAGCCCAATATTTTTTCCACGCTAAATTTATTCTTCTGTCTATTTCTTTTTCAATGTTGTTTAGTTCGAAATCATCATCAATCATCAACATATTCAATGGATTTTCCTTCTATTTTGATTGGTTTTTGGAGCTGTTTGTAATTATTTTTGTTTTAGATGCATTCATTTGAAGTCCTGCTTTTTGGCTTTGGGTGTTCAGGCTCTGAAGCATGATTTCTAATTCAGTCGTAGATTCACTAAATAGAGCTATTACGTCAGCAAATCGTCAATGTGTTAACCTTCCATTTAGTATCCATATACCTTTGTTTTTCCATTCTAGGTTTTGAAATATGTCTTCAAGGACGGCTATAAATAGTGTGGGTGAAAGAGGGTCATCTTGCCTCACTCCTTTCCCAATTTTGAACTCTTCTCCGTATCGTTCTATTTTCTAGTTTTATTTTACTTGTACTCTTATCATATATGTTCTTTAGCACACTTATGTATTTTTCAATTATTTTGTTTTTTCTCAAAGCCTTCCATATACATGAGTGTGATATGCTATCAAAAGCTTTAGCATAATCTACAAATGCTATGTATAACGGCATGTTATATTCTTTGTATTTTTCTATTATTTGTTCCATAGCGTGTATATGATCCATTGTTGAGTAGCGTGGTCGGAAGCCTGCTTGCTCTATTGGTTGGTTTCTGTCTATGTCTGGGGCTGGGGCTATTCTACTTAGGATTATCGATGAGAACAATTTATAGATTGAAGATAGTAAACTAATTGGTCTATAATTGTTGGTGTCAAGTGGATTTCTTTTTTTTCTGTACGTTACTACGATTGATTTTAATTCAGCCATCAATACAAATTTATACAAAGTGTTAGTTACTTAACTATTGAAAAAACTCAAAGATAAGTCAAATTAAGCAAGATTTCTGTTCTAAATAAGTCCAAAAGTTATGTTACCTATAAATTGAATAAGTTTTGGGTGAATAGAAGACGCCTGAGGGGTGGATAGAATTGATGTGTGGGGTAAATAGAAGCGCGTAAAGTCTGAATAGAAGTGCACGAGGGCGAGCAATACGACTGGGGTGATTATCATTGACATTGCTAAGGCTGATACGCATAATTATACCTGATACTTTTTTGTACTTATGGAAGATTGTAGGTTAGATTTAGGTTTAGATTATGTTTATATTTTCATTCGTATTGAAAATAAATGTTTGTTTAGATTATTTTGAACAATGCCGCGCATTTATAAACATGAACCTGGCAAGCGCAATAAATGGTATGACGAAAATGTTCTTAAGCAAGCGGTAGAAGATTATTTAATGAAAACTGGAGAATATATCATCCAATACATAAACGTTTGTGCAGAATGGGGATATCCTCTGAACTCACTAGACTTTAGATATATTGTTAAAATGTATCTGGATAAGATTGGGATTACTCATAAGCGATTCAAAAATAATTTCCCTGGGCCTGATTTCATCCATTGTTTTTTTTTTTAAATAGACATAAAGATAAAATTTCTCAACGAATATGCCAAAATATTAAGAGGTCTCGAGCTGCCGTGTCAGCAGAAATCATAACGAAATATTTTGAAGAACTACAAATATCTTTGGCCGATGTTCCAGCGGCAAATATCGTCAATTATGACGAGACAAATCTCGCTGACGATCCAGGGCGCAGAAAACTTATTACGAAACGCAGCACTAAGTATCCAGAACGCGTCATGAACCACACAAAGGCCAGTGTTTCCTTAATGATAGCTGGTTCAGCAGAGGGCCAGATTTTACCACCATGCGTGGTATACAAAGAACAAAATTTATGTAACACATGGATTTCTCACGGGCCTGAAGGTGCATGGTATAATCGTTCGGCATCAGGATGGTTCTATGGTACAATTTTTGAAGATTGGGTGCAATCCATAGTCATTTCCTTCTTCGCTGATAAGCCGGATAATTTATTTTCACATTTGTCGGTTGATATGATAAAACTTTGCAAAGAACAGCAAATTGATTTTGTATTTTTACCAAGTAATTCAACACGTATAACTCAACATCTCGATGTAGCCTTTTTTAGGCCCATGAAGGCAGCCCGGCGGCAAATGCTTCTTCAGTGGAAAAAAACAGATGGCAGCCAGTAGAAAAAAACAGATGACGGCAATGAGACATGTATACCAGAAGGTTGCTTCCCTAAATTACTGAAGAAATTAATGTCGGTAAAACAAGAAAATGCTGAGTCTAATTTAAAAGCCAGTTTTAAAAAAACTGGTATCTATCCTTTAGACGCTACAAAAGTGCTATCTCCAATACCAACACAATCGAACAATAGCAGTAGACATAGGGAAGCAGTGGATGAGTCTGCACTAACTTTATTAAATGACATGCGATATACTATGGGCGTAAAAGAATTAAAAAGAAAGTGGAAACTCGACGTGGTGGCAGGAAAGAGTGTTAGCGAGTCTACTGAGGATTATGTAGACTTCGAAGTAACACCAGGTCCGCGTACATCAAAACCACAAAGAAAAATAAAAAGCTAGATAAAGAAAATCTAATTCCTAAAGAAACAACAAACTTAAACAAAAGTATTAAAGGAAAAGGGATCGGTAAAAAGACAAAAAGGAAGGCAATCATGTTGATGAAGGAGTTATATGATATCATATCAGATATATGATATCAGAGAGAAAAATGTAGGCACAGGCAATACATTTACAGACAAACGAAATGATAATATATACCTATAAGACTGTGTTAGATAAGCCTGTATTTTTTGAAGATGACTTGGAATGTGGAGGAAAACTAACTATTGAAAACTACCCACTAAGAGATTTATTAATAATAAACCCTACAGCAGCAGGTGAAAATATAGAAACCGGTCTAAACAACGTCAGTCAGTCTGATCATGCTGGTGAATCAAACTGTCGATTCCACGAAGAAGAATATTCTGTAGCAGAAGTTGTAACTGAAACTTTACCGAAGACGAAAAAAGAAAAATAAAGATAATAGAAAATAAAAACTTTTTAGAAACTCTCAAGAATATTAGTCATGATAAGAAATACAAAAGTTTCCCCTGAAGCGCCTTTAATAATTTTAAAGAAGACTGCAAGACTGAGCAAGTATTATAAAGACGATGAGACTATAATAAGAGACTTACTAGATGATAATACTTAAATATACATACGGAATGCTCCAAATAATATTAAAATGATTACTTACTCACGTATGATTAATAGAAATGTTAACTTAATTTTATGGTTATTTTATTAATTCACATAGGTTTTGTTTTTAGTTGATTTTATTTAGATTCTTTTGCATATACATACACAAGTACGAATATAGAAAGAATTTTTCACTTTATAAGTCCGTTTATTTTTCATTTAAAAACGATTTTTACTGGATAAATACATAATTCTTATATTTAGTCCGTCAGTTAGATCATGAAAAACGTTAGCGACGTATCTTTTGCTTCCTTAAATTAATAAAACTTGACATTGGTAAAGCCCATTAAAGTTCAGAGCTTTTACCATGAGTTGTTATTACGAAGACTCGATCATCGATATCGACTGCGTTTTTGGCCCGCTCCAAGATTGAGAGAACTCTTAACCAATGAGAGCGCCAAACGCGGTCGATGCGTATGATCGAGTCTTCGTAATGACAACATGGTAGATGCTTTGGAATGGGGATTGTGACGTCTCTTAAGAGCATTTTTTCCACACAAATGTATTCCTCTTTTTCTTCCTGGATAATACCTCTAGATTAATCGTTTTTATTTATAAAAATCTAGATCTATTGAAGGCATGCCCCTGTCATTTGCTTTTTTCAAAAAAATATTACAAAAATAAATATGACTTTCCAAAAACCTACAAAAATGCCCCGTATTTACCTCCGTAATCAGACGACTACCAAAGAAATTTCAAAAGTTTTTTTCTTATATTAAAAATAAAAGCAAATAATAGAAGCATAGTCGATCTATTACTATTATTATTCCTTTAAATTTTGATATCAAAAATAATTTAATTGGCTTAGTTTTCGAGGAGAAAACAGGAGAATACGAAACGACGATCGGTCACGGTTTTTGTAGGTAAAATCGTTTTGAGCTGCAGTTGTCCCTATCGCACACTTTTGGAGACCAGAGCTGAGGGATGGCAAAAGTTTCTTCAAATATCTATTTTTCAATTCCCGCGTCAGTTTCAGACCGTCTACCCTCTTAATACTAAAATTGTACTATCTTGTGACATCATCCGAAGTTTTAAGGCGTTGTATCATCCTAATTTTTTATTTAAGTGACAAAATAAAAATACGTTGTTACAATATGTTTTGATAATAAAGACTAAACATATTTTTTCAGTAAAATTCACTGTTATGTTTATTAATTTTTTTTTGTATGGGTGATTGGCTCTAATTGTTTTTGCATTGAAAATATCAGTTACTATCCCTGTTATATTTTTGTAAAGTTAATGGTACTACTACTAATGGTAATTTAATGGTAAATAATGGTAATTTGCTAGGTACCTACATAAATAAATTTTGACAACCCTAGCATTTTTTTCTATTGACACCCTTTTCGACTCCATTCACCCATATCGCGGGTAAATAGAAAATGCGCAGATATTGTAATCTATTAAATAAATGACGAGAAAATTAAGTTAGTCTTTCATTGAAAACTGTTTATTACACTTTAACTCACAAGACATAATGACTGCTACTGATACTCGTACGACTGATATTCTAAGAAAAAATGTCCCTAGGTAAGGTTTAAATCCTCTAAGTGAGACAAGATGGTCCAGTAGAATTGATTCAATAAAGCTCCTTAAACTTTATTTAATTAAGGTTTGCGAAAGTCTTCTAGAAGTAGCTGAAGATAATTCCTTTCACATTGATGCAAGACATAAACCGAGTTCCCTCTTAACGTCTGTACAAAAATTTCAATTTATTTGTGGAATTATTATTTGGCATGACGTTTTATTTCACATAAATATTGTCAGCAAACAAATGCAAAGTGCTACAATTAATATTAAAGTATGCCAAACCTACCTAAAAAATTAGTTGATCACTTCCAGCAATATAGATCTGACCAATAGATTGAAGAAATTCTTGTACAAGCGAAAGAAGTAGCACTCTCTCTCGAAATTGAAGAAGACTTTCCACCGTTACCAACGGTCAGGAGGAAATTTAAACCAAAACTGTTTGACTATGAACACCGATATGAGACCCCTCATGATCCAAAAACTGCCTTTAAAATTAGTTTTTTCTTAAAAATTATAGATCAAACATTAAGCTCTCTAAAAAAACCGATTTGACTTATTAAATGAGTATGATAATACTTTCGGATTTCCCTGTTTACCTGTGGTCCGTGTATTTTGTGATTGTTAATTAATTCTATTTAACTACCTTCCTACATATATATTCGAAAACAATTTAATCGCCAGATTTCCAAACGTAAACGTAAGCATTTCACTAAGAATTCTTCTGACATTACCTGTATCTGTAAGCTTCTGTCGAGCGATCTTTTTCAAAGTTAAATATCGTTAAAAATTATGTAAGATCCACAATGCTTCCAGAAAGATTGTCTGGGCTAGCGATATTAGCAATTGAACAAGAAATTTTCGCTGGTTTAAATTTTAGCGATGTACTTAATGAATTTGCAGTAGCAAAGTCTCGGAAAATATCGCTGCTACAATAGCTATTTTGTATTTTTTTATTGTACCTTGCTATAATTTTTGATTTTATAACGAAGTTACATATTTAGCATATTGCATATTTTTTAAAATATCTAGGTATTAGTAGAAAGTAGTACTTACATTAGGCAATATTTCTGTTATTTGTTCCTAAAAAAAGATGTGATTTTTAGTTTTGAGTTATTTTCTAGTATTTATAAACAACGTGTCTGTACCCCATTAGTTAAGTAAATGCTTTAAAATGGGTGTGAACAAGAATTTATTTTAAATTATTTTGTTATGATTTTATTCTGTTTGTTTCATTTTGATATTTTAGTCTACAAATAAATATGACTTCTAAAGTTCAGTTTTTTGACTTATTTCAATCACCTACCAACCTACCTTCAAAAAATAAATAAAAAAACATGATCCAAAATGCCTTAAGCGGCGCCAAAATTCTTTTTTGCACACAGGCGCCAATAGCCCTTACGGGGGGCCCTGTGCACCACGGACATTAAATAAGTGATACAGTATCATCAATGGCCGACCAGGGTTTACTCAAGGAGCGCTGACAGCATTAAATTGAGAGCAGAGAGTTAACCTGATTAAAAAAAACATTCTACCATGGTCATGGATGAAACGACAATTAAGCAGTTGATGAAATACCATGATAGCAGCCAAAGGCATTTTCGCTATGTAGACTACGGGTGTGATATTATATCCGATGATTTTGATGAAGCTACTGATGCATTGGTGTTTTTGTTGCTCGGTATAAATACAACGTGGAAAATATCCATAACCAACTTTTTCTTTCAGAAACTGACCATAATTATATTTACTAATAAAATGATAATTTCATATTACTCTAAAAAACCATTCACTGCTGGCCGTATGAGGAAGCTCAAAGTCGCTCACGGAAATGGCTATGCTCGGGGAGTTTTCTGCATGATAAACATAGAAATAAGGATATTCACAGTAGAACCATAGAGACCGACATAACCCAACGGATTAGTAAAATTAAGTGGCAATGGGCCGGCCATACAATTTGAAGAATCGACAACCGATGGGAGGGGAGAAAGGTTCACGAGTGGCAATCTCGTATCGGTGGGTGATGTGCAGGGCGACCTCCCAATAAATGGAGTGACGACCTGGTAAGACATGCATGAGGTCGATGGATGCAGGTGGATCAGAACCGTGCTTTGTGACACCCCTTGAGGGAGGACTATGTTTAGCAGCGGACTTGTGAAGGGCTGTATATAATGAATGAAGAAACACTAAAAATCACTTTTAGCAACGCTGAACTTATGCGGCTATAATGATTTGTTTGTCGATAACAATATTGACATAGTCCTCACCTTACCTTGCTTACGAATGTAGACAGCTAGGGAAGGTGCGTATTTTCGCGACCAGGTTTTTATACCAGGTATTTACTTCCAAGTACGCCGACCAAGTGCCGATTTTCGATGCAGAAAGAAATACTTGAAAGTATCTCGAGCCCTGGTTTTTTGGCGCTAGTATCTGAAGGTGGACGTACTTGAAAGCCCTGGTACTCGATTTTGCAAGTACGACCAATCTCTATAGAGATGGGTCGCAAAATCTCTATTCTGAGATCATATGTATAAGGAGTGCGATCGCATATGCTAAAATAATAATCCTTCAAGCCTTGTTGGAAGAAAAATACTTGCGTAGAACATTGTTCCGTAACTGTATACAAATAAAGAGCACAATCGCGTTTACAAAAAATACTTCTAATCCTTTAAAGTAAATATACCTTGATAGAACATTGAAAAGGAACCAAGGTTCGGGGGTCCTCTTGACCCGGCCGCGATGGACCAATTGAAAAGGACCAACGGGGATTAAACGTTCGATTAAGAAACAGAAGGGAGGAATCGAGGCTTCTCTCGATCCGGCCTTCTATAACGCCTACGTTGGGTTCGGGAACAACGTATGTGATCTCCGCAACGGAGTAACACACAAGGGCGATAACCTCTTCCTTTTCAGCGAGTAGGTTCAGACGGGGATTACGGGTCTTCCGAAGTCGTCCCGGTCCCAACGCCTTAATTCTTCGATGTGGACTGTATAATTTTGAGGGATGAATTTCTTGGGAATAAAACAGCAATTATCTTCAAACCGTTCCGTGAGAGAGTAATTACTTTTCCCTATCACTTCCCTACACTTTTTCTTTCTTCTTCTTATTGACTGCTGGTCTGATTTCCGAACTTTTTCCCCCGAACTATCTCGAAGGATTCCCGAACTTCCCCGAACTATCTCGAAGGATTCCCGAACGAATTGCAATAAAACCCGTTCACTAAGCTACCCCAGAGCTATACGCGAAAGTGA